GTCGCCGTCGTCGTCCTCGTCCCTGTCCTCGACCTCGTCTTCCTCGTCGTCACCCAACGCCTGGGCTCCCCCCCGCGGGGCTTGACCACTTTACAGATGCCTTCCCACGAGGGCCCAACCCCCGCCCCCGCCCCAGCATGCAGGCGCGACGGGCAAAGGATGAAACGACAACTGCGAAGGAAAACCGGGGAGGAACGGGAGACGATGAGGATGATAACGATGATGTTGTCGACGATGGTGATGATGGTGATTATCACGTTGGTATCGATGATTATTCTGCCGATGGTGACGATGATGATGATGACGATATGACGACGGCGGCGACGACGATTATGATGATGATGAGAATGATGAGAGTGATGGTGATGATCATGACGGTACTGGTGGTTTCGGTGATGGTGGTGGTGGTGGTGTTGGTGATGACGGCTAGGATGAGGATGAGGAGGATCGCGTGAGGATGGGGACGTTGATTAAGGCAATTTTCGGATGATGATGATGACGATGATGATGATGAGGTGGAGGAGGAGGAGGAGGAGGGGGAGGAGGAGGAGGAGGAGCAGGAGGAGGAGGAGGGTGGCAATGATGACGTTGGAAATGCGTTTCTGATGATGATGAAGAGGAAGGCGGATGATGAGGAGGGGGAGGAAGCGGAGGAGGAGGAGGAGGAGGAGGCAGAAGTTGAGGAGGAGGAGGAGGAGGCGGAGGTGGAGGAGGAGGAGGAGGAGTGAGGCCGCACCGGCTCATAAGGCGCCCGGTTCACGGATGGATATATTGCAAGGTTGTCGATGCCGAGCGCTGGCGTGCCATGCTGCGATCTGTTACGCCATGCCTAATGCCACCTGGTGGTGGACCACCACCTGGCGCACTGTCTCATCCATGTCACTGGTGCCGCCCATGCCGCCCTCCAGTCTCTCCGTACCCCTCCCCATCCCGCGTAGTCGTCGTGGACTTCTTGTTGGCCGTTTGCGCGCAGCCGCCGCACGCCTCAGCAGGCGCGCCCCGCCGCCCTTGCCAGAGAAGGGTCGTGACAGCAGCAGTGGTAAATGGCAGAGGTTTTGCTCTCGCGAGGCCCGAGCCGAGCCCAAGCCCGAGCCCAGTGACCAGAACATTTCTGATCATCATGCATGAACGACCTTCATTCCCCGTTCTCTCGACAGGTTCCCCTCCTCCTCCTCCTCCTCCTCTCCTCCTCCTCCTCCTCCTTTCCTCCTCCTCCTCCTCCTCCTCCTCCACCTCCTCCTCCTCTCCCTCTTCCGCCCCCTCCTCCTCCTCTTCCTTTTCCTCCTCCTCCTCCTCTTCCTTTTCCTCCTCCTCCTCCTCCTGCTCCTCCTGCTGCTCCTCCTCCTCCTCCTCCGCGCGCTCCCGCCCGCGTGCGTGCGGTCTTCTCCCCGCCTCCCCTCATGCGTTCTTGCGCGACACGACGGCTTCGACGGCAATGAGGGTAATGGGAGGGACAGACAGACATTCAAAAGCCGTGCCCTGACGGCGCCTTTGCATAGAACACTGGACAGGTGGCGGCGTATCCGGGCACCTGCAGCAGAAATACCTAATCTTCGATTGAACTACAGAGGTTTCGGTTGCAGACAATTTGAAGACTTGGTACCCAATGGAGGGCGGTGCGTTGGCTTGCAGGCAATCTGGAGAGGGGTGGGAAGCGGAGGGCCGCCCATGGGGGCGCGAATATGACCGCGTATCGCGGTCTGTCCCAGATATGCGTCTTTCTTCAGGGATCCGGCGCGAGGGCGTTGAACCCCCGCTTTGGGTTTTTTGCGCGGGGCGTGGAGCCAGAAGCTGGGTGGACCCGGCGACTAGTTAGTTGTCCAGGTGTGTCTGCCACCCGTGCGCGAGTGTTGTAGGTTTGCATGAGGCGTCGGAAGGAATTTATCAGGGGACAGTTGTCGGGGGTGGACAGCACCCCCAACAGTGACACGTCGATTAGTGAATTGTCCGTTTTCGGTTCTCGAGAGGGCGCCGTGGCCGTTATTTTCCAGGCTTGCGCCCGCCAGGTTTGGGCCTCAGGTCGTTTTCACTAAACCACGTTTTACTAAAGGGAGGTCTGTCCATCCCCGAAGTTGACTTATGTGCTGCATCTGATCGGGCTCATGGCCCTCGTCGCTGCGGCAGGGCCCGGCTCGGGATCCTGCTCCGGACGCCTTCCGGCGCTGGTCCTCCGTACGAATTTGGAAGGTTGCTGTCGCAATGATGCACGCGGCTCCTCCCTGGCATCGCTCGGACGTGTTTATTTTTCTTTCGGCGAGGACCATCGAGGAGCATCCTTGATCATTCGGCGAAAAAACCACGCACGAAACTGAAAAAAGCACAGGGAATGGACGTCCGAGCGATGGCCAGCCTCAGGTAAACGCATCCTCAGATTTGTCTAAGCTTTCGTTGCCTCCCTGGGCACTCGCGGGCCCCAGGGTTGTCTGGATCACCAGGGTTGCGAGGCCCACCGGCCTGCTCACCACGAGTGCGAGGCTGGTCGAGCGAGCCCACGCGAGCTTCTTTTTCGATTGGGAGCGATCGACTCGCCGCGATTACGATGTCGCTGCCCCCAGGGACGACAGGTCCTGCCTGGCTCGTAGGTGCGAGGTAGGGAGTCAACACTGCCGAGTGCGCCCCTGCCCGCATCAGGAAACTGCTCAAGCAGAGACAGCCGAGGCAGAGAATCTCCAAGGGATCGTGCGTCGAGCCGAGTCCTCCTCCTCTGAGTCCCTCCTCTTCTCTCGTGGTCTGGTCGAGCACCCCTCGGGGGATCCCTTCCTAGATTGCGCGCCCGCCCAGGAAGAGCTAAGCCCCAGTTTTGAAAATCCGCCGCTCGTCGGAGGCCAGGCCTACTCTGATGGCTCGGGTAAGGGCCCTCCTGGGCTCAAGAGCTTTGGCTGGGGTTATATGTTTTCTGGACCAGGAGGGAGCCGTGGTTCGGGCCATGCATGGCTCCCTCCCAGGGCTCAGGTGCCAGGCGTCAGTTCTTCGTGCTGAGATATGTGGGCTGAGGAAGGCCCTGGAAGGTGCCACCCCGCCCCTCCGCGTCGGCATCGACAACAGCCTTGTCACCCGAGGTTTAAAGGGGGGTCGAAAAGTGCTGCTGCTCTTCCAAGAGGCCTCACGCCGATCTCCGGGCCCGCGTCTTGTTCTCGCTCCAAGATAATTTCCTCGTGGACGGCGATGATTTGGTTCAGGCGCAGGTTCGGGCCCACTCCCAAGGCCTCGGGACGGTTCTGCGGCGCTGCTCGACTTTCAGGGAAACCAGTCCGCTGGCGCTGAGGCCAAGGCGTGATCTGATGTGCCGGCGCTTCCCCAGCGGGGAAGCGACACCTGGGCCTCCCGATCGGGGGAGGTGCAAGAGGTGCTCGGTCTAGCGGCTGGGGTGACGCTTCGGACGGGAGACTGAGGATTCCATGGGGAGGCACGCCGCGGGCTCCGTCGGGGGGGGAGAAGGCCCGCGCTCTCGCCTGGCCTCGGGGTGCCTGGAAATGCGCCGCGTGCTGCAGAGATGCCCCATCCCCCAAGGCCAAGAGGTTGGTATCGCTCGGACGTGTGCACTTTTCCTCGGCGGGGATTATTTGTTAAGGAGCATCCTGGATCATCATGCGAGGAAACCGCGCGCGAAACCGAACTAAACACAGGGAATGGACGTCCGAGCGATGGCCAGAGAGGGCCGTGAGGCGCAGGCCGAGTAAGGGCAAGGCTCGGGTGGGCCGCCCTTCCGTCGTGGGGCGGGGGGACGGGGAGCAGCTGATTCCGTCGGCCTTGCGCGGTGAAGCGCTCGGCCATGAGCTGCACCGCTCGGGCCAGTGCACGTCCTGCGATCGGTGCGGTGTTTTCTCGAGCGAGCAGGGATGCAGGCTTGTCCGGCCGTGCGAGGGTGTGCCCTCGAATCCCACCGCGGAGTGTCGCCGCCTGTTCCTGCGTCGATGCAGACACCTTTATGAGGCGAGGCTCTCCCTAGGTGAGGCGTGCCGCTCACTCTTGCAGTGTGAGCGGGACGCCTACTGGGAGGGGGCGCTGTACTGAACAGTGGGCGGGCGTTGAGGCACCTTCTCGGTGTGCCCGCCCGCCCATCCTTTCTCTGACAGCTGGCTGTGGCAAGTGATGCCAGGTTGGTTATAGCAGCAACAATCCACCCTGCTCTTTCTCTCTCCCCCCCTTCCCACTTCGCTCCACGTGCCTCTTGTTTTCTCCCCTCCCCCCCTTCCCCGTCCTCCCTCCTGATATTTCCCCTCGCCCATCTCCCTCCTCCTCCTTTCTCTTTTCCATCCCCCCCCTCCTCCTCCCCCCTGCTCTTTACCCCTCCCCTCCCTCCCGTTCCTCGCACCTCCCAGTGTGCACCGAGCCCCGTGTAGGAAAATTTGGAGGGGCTGCGGCCTTGTGCGCCCTCCCCGAACGGAACGGGCACGGGCACCAACGCCTCGTGGCATGTGCCGGGACCGTCGCTTCGTCAGGGCTGCTTGCCGTCCGAATCGACCTCAAGACTTTGATTACGATTTTGACACGGCCCAATCTGGTGCGACGCGAGTCCCTGTTCGGCCGGCAGGGGTCGAACCCGATCAGCGAGTTCGTGCGATCCGATGCCGATCCTGCTCCCCGACGACCTGGACGCGATCCGATCCTCTGCCGATCTGGCCCGATCTCGCGATCCGATCCCGCCCGGGCTTTCCTCGGCGCCGTTCGGCCCCTCGCCGGGGCACTGCTCGGGTATAGCCAGGACCCCCGGTCAGGGAACCCGGTGAACTAGTAGTAGGGCCAGAATCACTGACCAGAATCACTGACCAGGTCTGCCGTAGTTGGTGTTTTTTTCGGGAGACGGCAGTTCCGTTTAGTGGAACGGGGCGGGGGGGCGTCTCCCAGTGCCGTACGTAGTATGTGTACTACACATCACTAAACCAGGTCCCTCTAAACCCAGTTCTGCCAACCCCCGACTTGCCCGGGCCCCCAGAGGCCAGCTACGGCGCCGTGGACCTGGGGGCGGGGGCCGCCAAGCTGCGCGGCGCGGGCGCGAGGAGCGGCCCGCCCTCGCGCGGCGGCGTCGGCTGGCCACCGGCAGGCTGGGCCGACCTCGGCATCGACCAGCCGCCTGGGGACCCCAGCGCCGATCCGAGAAATCCGCGCGGACCTCCGAGTTGTTATGTTTATGTCATTTTTTGTTCCCCTACTTGTGTGTCCCAGGGCCCCTTCAAAGACACTTGCTCCGTTGGCCGACCCACCTCCTCAGGGCGGGTGGGGGGGGGGGGCGTTGCCGTCGTGTGCCGCGGCGCCCCTCCCCACCCAGGGGCGGTGCAGGCTGGTGGCCTTGGGGACCGCTGGCCGGCTGGGGATGGGGACAGGTCTCACGATTATAGGAGGAATCGTCAAAAATAGTCAAAGAAATGGTATGGGGACGATTTTGTTGACTATTTTGGGGCATTTGGCGAGTATGTTTTAAGTTTTGGGCATGTTTGGGCATTTGGGCATTTCGACAGGTCTTACGATTGAGTCGGGCCTGTCCCTCTACAAGAGGAGTAGTCAACAATAGCCAACAAAATCGTATGGGGACGATTTCGTTTGACTATTTTGGGGCATTTGGTATGCATTTGCTGTTTGAACAAAAAACATCGCCCAGAATGCGCCTGCAGGGGGACGGACCCGAATGAATCTTACGATGCGGATGACCGATCCTTGCCGCGCCGATCCTGGTCCCAGGGTCGAGGTCTACGCCCGCGCGGCCACGCTATAGCAGGGCCCTGCGCAGGCCGATCCCGGCTCGGCCCAGGACGGGCATGGCTGGGATCGGTGGGGCAGTCAGTTGGTTGACGCCGACCGCTCTCTTCCGCCGAGGGTGCCGAACTTTTAACGAATAGGACGATGAGACTGGTATCGAGGAGCAAGGAAGCCGGCAGTGCTGATGATGGTTCATGGTGGTGACGGAGTTGTGGAGTGTGTGAATGGCAACGGTGGTGGTGGCGGTGGTGAGTGATAATCATGGCGGTGGTGGTGAAGATGATGATGATGAGGGTGATGATGACGATGGCGATGGCGATTGCGATGACGACGACGATTATGATGTTGATGCCGATGCTGATTCTGAACATGATGATGGTGGTAATGATGAGGACGCGATGATGATGCTGTGGATGCTGCTGATGATGACGAAGACGATGACGATAGCGATGACGATGATGGTGGTGATGATGATGACGATCATGATAATGACAATGCTGATGATTATGATAATGGCAACTATGATGCGGATGATGATGATCATGATGACGGCAATAACAATGATGACGATGACGATGACGATGACGATGACGATGATGATGATGATGATGATGATGATGATGATGATGATGATGATGGCAATGCCAATGACACTGTCAATAATGAGGATGATGATGATGCTGATGATCATGAGAAGGAGGATGATGACGATGCTGATACTGATGATGATGCTGATGATGATGCTGATGCTGATGATGATGATGCTGCTGATGATGATGATGCTGATGATGATGATGATGATGATGATGATGATGATGCTGATGCTGATGCTGATGCTGATGCTGATGATGATGATGAAGACAGACAGGAAGAGGAGGGGAATGATAGATAAATTGCGCCCAACACCGATTGAAGTTGCAACGCTTCCGCGAATATGACCCAGCCCTCCTGTTCCCCATGTGCGGGTCAACCTCTGTTGCTCCTTTCGTTCCTCTTGGCCGTCCTTTTGGCTATCCTTCCTCCCACTCGAACGGTAGCCTACCAAGCCCTTCTCCTGCCTGCCTACATGTTCCCACTTTTTCCGCCGCCCTTTTTGGTTCCTGGGCAAGATTTCGGCCGGACGACGTGCCCGTATAAGACGTGTTTTCATCCCGCATTCGGAAGAAAGGCATTTTCGCTTGCCGCACATCCATTTTTAGAGTTGGTAGCGGGTTCCCGGCTCGTTTCCACTGCCATTTGCCGCCATGGTTTGCGCGGAACTTCCGCCAGTCATTTGCTCTGTCGCCTCCTTCCCCATCATCTCCATCGTGCTCGGCAACCATGATCCTGTTTTTCTTGCTCTCCGTATTCATCTACTTCACACTTGCTAAGACAAGCGATGAGGCGGAACCTACATGAACAAGTACGCTTTCAAGAAGTTCAAGGAGCTCGGCGCACACCCGCCGCCGTTGCCTGCTTCTTCCCCGGGGCGTATTCCAACTCTACGCTGGAGTCGTTCTCGGCACCGCAGGATGGGCTCCCAACTGAAAACGCAGAACCACCATCGTTCCCATCAACATCCAGCTTGTGGCCCCGAGCTTTACGTAAGTATCTTGCGGGGGCCCTGGGAAAACGCGGTGGATGGGAGCGCCGATTACAGTGGGAACTTAATGGGGCGTTGGACAACTATGTTGGCATATCTCCAAGGGGCAGCGACGCATGTCTGGGACAACCTGTCTTCGAACTCTTCGCGCGCGAAATATCGCCATGCCCGCCGCCGACTCCCGCCGGACTGACGAGAGATCTTGATGCCTACTCCTCCTGGCGATCGCGCAGTTGGCGGTCCTCAGCACCCAGACGACGCGACGCACGAGGTGTATTTTCTCAAATGTTTTGCGGGGTGTCCCGATTGTGGCGGCAGCCGCAGCGACGCGACAGAAGGCGATGTCCAATGCGCTGACGAAGGGGAACGCATTCGGGGCGAAGCCCACGACGGCTCCGAGGCCCGCGGTCAGAGCAACGCCGTCGGCGGGCCCCAGGCCTCTGGCGCCTCCTTGACAGATGGGGGTCCTCCACTCCAGATGATAGGCCATCGGGGTGGTCGCGCTTGCCTTGGCCAGCTCCCGTGCCTGCGCGGGCGCAGGAGGCAGCAGCTGCAGCGCGCGACGCCGAGCACCTGGGGGCCCGAACAGGGAGTTCGGGCCCCTTTCCGACGAGGGGCGCGGGGGGCGATGGTTTCTAGGTCAGCGGCGAACTCGGACCTCGACGGGCTTCGCCAGATCTCGGTGCGCGGGCATGGCCCGAGAATGCGCGGGCGAGCGGCCGCCGGCTGCCATCGCGCTGGGATTTGCCACCAAATGCAAAACAGTGCCACCGGCAACGCTCCCGATGCGCAGTTTGGCCCGATGTCGGGGCCAACTGGGTGACGGCAGACTCAGCACTTCTGAACTTGAATCGGCTGCCGCAGCAGCACATTGATTACCTCGTCGCGCATGTCGACATCCTCCGCAACCACGCTCAGCATATTGGTCGAGTCATGATCGGCCACGAGGGCCCGCGCTCAGCATATTGGTCGAGTCATGATCGGCCACGAGGGCCCGAGCTCCCCCCTCTCGCGCGCGGTGGGAGCGCCGCGCGCGCAGCTGGCCACGATGTAGCAGCGCTGCATCATGCATCGCGGCCTGCCCGACCGGCGCAGCGCAACTCGCGCGCGCGACGGGTCAGCTGCGACGCTTTGGGTGCAGCGTGGAGGGATCGCCCGGCAATGTTGCCTCCGCGGCGCGCCCATCTCAACGTCAGACTTTTCTCGCGGGCACGCTCGCGCAAGATCGGGCTCAGAGTGCCGGCGACGCTGCGGCAAGATTGAGTTGGGGCGGCCCGGGCCCATCAGCACTGGGGGCGGCGCCGAGTCCGCCTGCAGCAGCGCCGCCAGCGCTGAAGGCATTCCCATCAGCTGCCCTCGACTGCGGCAACGACGCCGCCGCCATCAGCTCATTCGTCGAAGGAGAGATGCCCGCCGACGACCCCGAGCTGCGCGATGCGCTCGTGGAACAACGCGGCGCGCACCTGAGCTGGGGGCGCGAGCGCGCCGCAGCGCGACGGCAGCGCTCAGCGGCCGCGCGCTCGCGCGTCGCGCCCGGGGGGTCATCGAGGGCAAGGTCGAGGGCCGCGGCAAGGGCCGCTGGGCCTTCTTGGCCGGCTTGCCCGAAAAGCCCGAAAACGACCCCCGAGAGACATCCGCGGGCCCCGGGAGGGCAAGGGCAAAGGGAAGGGGGGGTCAGGGCCGGCGGCGCGGGCCTGGACCGCCAAGGCAGCCTTGTGGGCCCCGACGGGGTGCGACTCAAATGCCGCGAGCGTTACTCGGAGGAACGCCTCGTGCGCGACTGCCTCCGGCGCCGCAGCCGAGGGCGCGCTTTCTTCCTCGGCGCCCGCGCCCTAGCGCCGCCGGCCTCCGGGCCGCGATCAGCACTGGGGCAGCAAGGGCCGCCGAGCGAAGCTGCGCGGCTGCCCCCGACGAGCGCGCGCGCGGCCTGGATGGCCAGGGGCCGCGTCTGCAGGCACGGGCGCGAGCGGCCCCGTGCAGGGCGCCGATCCTTGGAAAAGGGGAAAACCAGCGCCGGCATCGGCGGCGCCGCGGTCAGCGGCGGCAGTGGCGGCGGCGGCAGTTGCAGCAGCTACTTCGCCGAATTCGTCGCCCGACGGTTCGCGGCAACAGGTTGGCCACAGTCAATGGCCACGATCGTCGGGCGCAACATCTCCGCGCCGAAGCCCAAGACACCAGGCCACGACGACTATGACAGGAGATGGGCGATCGCATGGGCCGCGCGCGCGCCTCTGCGCAGACGCGGCCGGCCCCGCGACAGCGTTGCTGACCCGCCCGGCAGCGGCGGGGGGGCCAGCGCCATCCGCGCCCGCGTCGCCGACGGATGCAGCAGCGCCACCGGCGCAACCGCAGTGGAAACGACTTGGCGGTGCTTTCCATCTGGGACAGGCCAGGGGCTCGACTGGCTGGGCGGCCTCCGCGCGCGGCCCTCGCGCCAACTGCTGCCGACGTCCGCCTCGCTCGGCTGGGGCGCGCCATGCGGATGGAGCTCGATTTGGCCACCGCAGTCGGCGCCCGCGCCCGCGCCGCCGCCAGCGTCGGACACTCCTTCTGGATCGGCCCCGTTCAACGCAGACGTGCCGGCGGGCGCGATCCAACCATCGGGGGGAGTGGCCATGTGGCCTGCTGGCCGCGAGACATTGATGTCTGGAGGCAATGGATCCGATCACAACGTGCATCCCCCTCTCGAATGCACCCAACGACGAGCCCCACAGCGCGCGG